TTCATTAAACGCAATTTACAAAAACAAAAGCAGCATAAGCAACGCCCTTCCACGTGGCCCTTCGTGTTATTCCTTAAATATTCTCCGAGGTCGTATGATTAACGTCACGGTTAATGGGGGGGGCTCTCAAAGAATTCATTAGGACAGAGCAATGACTCCGATGGAGAATTTGAACAAAGATCCAGGCCCTGCTAGAGATGGGTGTGGCCACGGGCTTTTCATATGGAGGAGAACCCCCCCCCTCCACCACCCACCCACCACACCCAGTCAGGTTGCACATGTGATGTGAAGTGCAGGCAGCAGCTACTCTGTGCCGTCTCCGAGGGGTGTGTGCTGTTCCATATTAATGACAAAGAGGGGAGCGGGAGCGAGAAGTCACTATCATACACTCATTTGTTTAAAAAAAAAAGAGAGCCGGCTTCACAATACAGTCGGCAGGAGTCCACAGGATATCCAGTGAAAGCCGGGGGGCTGCGTCAATGACAAAAGGGAGAAACAACCTCACTTTTTTTGTCCCCGAGACAAGGGCTGCCCAATCTCCGAGTGCCGTTGGGCTTTTCACCAAAACCGAGGAGACCTTCATGCATTTCAATAGGGGTGGGTATTCCTGCATAAAGAACGGAGCACTACTGCATAGCGAAGTCATCCCTCTCCTGTTGTTAAGCCTTTCTCTACGGCTGAAACAATAGAACTCTGGTCCCTCCCCTTGAATAACAAATAAACCATTATTTTGCACGGCAGAGCGAGGGATCCGTGTGCACAATGTGGAAAGTGAGAAGATGGCAAAGTGTAAACTGTGATGACAGTCAGTTTGGTGGAACACTCTAAAAATCACACCTCAGTATGAAACAGCATGTATGAAAAGCTAACAGAGATGATAAATTCAAACTTTCTTGACCTGGCTGGTAAATTACACCCCCCCTCCCCCCACCCCAGCTTTTTAAAATATAATAATTTAATATATCTCACACTGCCGTTCTAAAAATGGGCCAACCCAAAAGCCAAAGTGTAATTAAGATTCACTTGCTGCTGTTTTACTGATAATTGTGCGCGTAAAACTGTCGCAGGCAAACAAAGGAGCTTTTTCTCATTCAGTCATTGCCTCGGAGTGATTGCTCTCGCCATAGAAAGTCCTTTCATTTTCTCAAGGCAAAAGTACTCATACATCTCCCTGCTCGGTGAGTCCAGCAAAGAGAGAACTGCATTCTCTGACGTGTAGGAAACTCTGCACGTGGTAGCTTGCATTTCTCCACCGCTTTCTCACTACATCCAATACAAGTCTGAAGTTTGAATTAGTGAAGAGACGTTTGGAGCAAATGTAAAAATTCATACAACATTCTCTGACATGACTGCCTCTAAAAAGGTATAAACGAGTGAACAATGAGGCGAAGACTGGTACAATTTAGCTCAATTTGAGTGACGGGAACAAACCGTTTCCAACAACTGCACCTATACAAGAACCATACGTCCTCCTCCCCCTGCTCCACCTGTTCAGTGTCCTGGTGGGACAACACACTGTGCGATGGTGGACACGCCTAAAGAAATCCCTGCTACATGAATATATTCTACCGTGCTCAGAATTAGTGGTTTCCAATTGTACCCTTGTTTGCACAATATGGGACCATTGCTTTGTCTATTTAATTCAAGACCTACAGTATCTGAGTAGCTTCCACAACATATGGTCAAGATGCGTATGCGAATATGTTACAAGCATAATTTCTCTGGGGACAAGCTGATGCATCGGCCCAATTTCTTGGACTAGATAGATGAATTTCTTTGTTGCACTGACAACCTGCTCTTTGCTCTTGTGCGGCATCAAAGAACGGCCATGTTTAAATTTCATCATAACCTACGGTTATTTTTTGCTGCACTGTCCTTTAGCGTCCTCCTTATTTTGACTCATTAGTCATTTAAAGCTGAAGTAACCGCGACAGTTGTTAATTAGGCCTGAGCCCCACATCCGGGCCATAAAGTGCTGCTGCCAGGGGCGCTGCTAGGAATCCTGCACCCCCTGATGGGAAGTGACACCGCCCCCCCCCACCCCAAATCTGCTTTAATTTACAGTACAGCCTCAATTGTCTGAACGGCCCTCTTTTGTTCAACGGGCCGACGAAACTGTCCCCCCCATTTTCTCCATTAACAGCTGCTGATTTCATATTGTGCTGGAGGCCCGAGGAAGACATAATGCCCGAACAGAATGATCCTTATTGAACACCCGTGTCCTTCATTCTTTCTCACTTGCATTGTGATTCTTAGGTGAGTAATGAATATGTCTCCTTTTTTACTCAATACTAAGGTCTTTTTTTTACTGAAAAACACAACACCAACTATGCAAAAAAAATCTACTTCACACTTTTTTCTCCCACACAGGCTGTCATCTTTTAAGACGCATTATAAGCTACCAAATTTGGGTTAAGCATTCAGCAGTGTGACGGGTTGTGTGTGGATGTCTCATTTGGGACCATTTTAAAAATTCTAACTCTAAAAAGTTAGAGGAACTATGGATTAAAATAAGCTTTGGTCATTTTGTTAGTTCAAGATACTTTGCGCCCAAAAGGTAATCTTTCAATGCAGCAGATTTTCCCTTTACCGCACGATTTTCCTTGTTCTTTAGATATTCACAATTTCATTATTTCATTTTTCTCGCCACTAACAAAATCCGACCAAGATACAACAAAACTACTTGAAAAGAGTAAGCATTAAAGTGATAGCACCGAGTACAGGTGCAGCGCTTCTATTCAAAGCCACAATTTGGCAGAGTTGCAATACTTTTCATGAATGCATCTGAATTTTGCATGACGGGATACAATACGAGTCTCAAAGAGAGCTCTTCAAAGACCAAACAGCCGCAGAGCAGTCTTGAAAAGTCAAGTGGAAAGTGCATATAAACAAGACGAGACGTGCACACGCACCTAAATACATAGCTGCACACCACCAAGTGTACAATTAAAGCGTCTCTTTTACTGCTCCTCTGCGTTACCATCACAACGTTGGTGAGACAGGTCTGAACATAACCTAGTTAAAGATGAAGGAAAGCAGACAGGATCCATCTCAGGTGAAATTGGGTGACCCCCCCCTCCCACCCCCCACCCTTAAGAGATTAGTCCATTAGCAAAAGGGAGAGCCCCACTTGCTTGACAAGTAACACCAGCTGTGACACCGAGCGCTCCCTGTCTGTTCAGGGTGGGGTGAGGGTGGTGGTGGTGGTGGGGGAAGGGTGTCGACAACGGAGCGAACAAAAAGACAGATGCATCTTCCTGACTATTTGTTTTAAGAGTTATGCCCTGTTTTTCTGCTCTATGCAGTCGTGGCCATCGCCCGGCCTTCACCGGCGAAGCCCCAGGAGCTGTTATTTTTCCATCGGTTCAGAAATAATAAACAGAAGTCTGTTTTTTATTTTTTTTTATTACAAGCATTGATGCAGTTTTTATTGCAAATCCCAAACTCAATAAAGCCTTTCATCAGATTTTTTCCCCCCCCGCGTTGAGCAAATGGAAGAATCACTAATATTTCATCTTTGTTACAGCTCAAGAGAAACCTTTTGTTTGTACAAGACTGACCATCTGTTGTGCAAGCAAGCAAACACACACACACACACACATGTTTTGACCATCACTTGAGGCAGCGGGCCAACTAAACACACGGCAGTGTGGACGACCATAAAGCCTAACCTCATTACCAACTCAGTGCACTCTCCTCCTGTCTCAAGCACACGGCACCGCGGCGGCACAGCGGTGCAAAAGCACCTTAAAAGGAACATTCGTTTCCTCTCAAATAAACCACCTGAGCCTGACTGATAGGTGCTGCATGGTGTTAATTTCCAACAACAGGCGCCACCGGGGTGCGACGAGCGGGAGAGGGCAGTACAGTGAGATCAACCTCTTCACCCCTCTCCCTTCAATGGGAGTACTTTGAGCTCCTGTGCAGCTTGGCTTTAATGGCCCGGCTGAGTGATGTGAGCACATGGTGCTGCTACCTGTTGGCCCGACACAGCAAACAACAAGGAAGCCCATGGGGTGGGTGTGGGGGGGGACTTCATTAAAAACATGATGCCTATGAAATACCAAGCGTTTAAATGGGTGCATTCGTGCACATTAATGTAGGGTGCTGCACGTTGCCTTCACACGCAGAGGAGCTTCATGCCTTTGCTGTACCTTGGACGCATTCACGGGTACAAACCATTTCAACTGTTCACATCGGATCTAATCCTGTGGGTAATTACAAGTGAGAGACTGTCAGGCTGCGCATTCCACGCAGCCAACAGGCAGCGCATAATTACAATAATTCGACCAGGATGTAAACGCAGCACCACTCCGCTCAACAGACGCCTTAACAGCATTAAAACACACATACAAGAAAAATGAGGCATCGTGATGACGTCATGGCATGAGCACATGGAGGAGGCACAAAAAAAGGGTGGCACAATGGGCAATATTTTATCTCACATATAAGCCGTGCGTGCGTACACAAAAAGTCACTTTTATAGGGAGGTATAATAATATAACATTTTCTGGGGTTAGTTAGTTAAAAGACATTACTTGGTCTAGTTGATCTTGACTCTTCTTAGGGATTGTAGATATTTGCATATATAATCCCAACACAATTGCCATGGATATTAATGACCACTGAATCCTGTGCTGTGCTTTAGAGCAATAAAAGACAATAAGATAATCATTTGAATTACTTCAGACTAAAACTACCAAATCCACATAAATTGAGCACCCACGACTAGAACCCTGCCACCGAAACACCATTAGAACTATATAACACCTCAATAACTAAAAAAAAAAAAACACGAGCGTCACTGCTCCACTTTTTCCTGCGGGAATGTGATCGATAACCCGGCTGAAGTTTGTCTCGCCCCTGCGTGTGACCGCCCGAGACTTTCCCCCCTCCCGCGGAAGGCTACCGGCGGCTCCGGGGGGACACCGCCGCCGCTTCCCCCGTGGAGGGTGGAGGGGGAGGGGGGGTCGGATGGTTTTTGGGGACAAAAAGCTTACCTTGGTGGAGGAGCGCGGCCCAGAGGAACACGCGCACGCGGCTGGCGGACAACAAGTGCATCCTCGCAGGTCTCTCAGATCCTCGGTCGCCCGCTTGTTTCAGGTTGGGGGAGCTTCTGTTAAACCACTTGGTGGAGTTTCTCTGTGTTTCTTTTTCTTCTCAAAGATTCAACTGGAATGCTCCTCGTTTAGCGCGTGCAGCCGGCGTGCAGTTCAGACGTTCTCCTGTCCGCGTGGCATGTGCTCGCCAACTCGCGCTCGCGTCGGTGCTGTGGGAAGGGAACAGGTAATTGAGGGGAGCGCACAGACGAGCGGGAGGGCGGGAGGATACTGTCTGCAGCTCCGCCCCCCTTCCTCCCCCCCACCCCCCAGCGCCCTCCCTCCTTTCATTTCCCTCTCCAGCTGCAACCCCCCCCCCCACACGCACACACACTCCCTCCCACAGCCCCCTCCTCCTGCCGCCATCCTCCCACACACAAGTGCCCCCCCCACCCCCTTTCTTAGACCCCACTCCTCCCCTTGGCCCCCTTTTTACTCTCATCTTCAACTCTGCTTCCCCCTCCCACCGTCCCCCTCCCCTCTTCCCAACGTGCACCCTGAACTCTGCAGGCCAGCACGCATGTAGTAAGACACACGCACGCGCGCGCGCGGGGAGAAACGTTCAATAAAGCAGCAGCTCGGACTTGTCTCAAGCAGAACACCCAGAGGCACAATGAGGGCCTTAATCCTCCACCTGCATTTTAAACTAAACTGAGATCAAAGTACACAGTAGTACACAGTAATACTCAGAGCTCAGCGGCTAAAAGTGCTTCGCAAATACAATTCATCATTATTGTTCATGTTATTACTGCTCTTCTTCTCTGGCATATCATTTGTTGTTATTATAGTACTTAGTTGTAAGTATTAGCATTGACGCGTATCTAGCCGCAACACGACAATCTGTCCCAATGAATCAAAAAGGAGGTCGCTTGGTCTATTAAACGTCAGAAAAACAGCAAACCCTCATATTTGAGAAGCTGTTTGATTTCTGTTTATAGGCCCGTAATCAATTCTCCACAAAGTCACAGATTGTCCCTGATGAGCAGAGTGATTGCATTCCTCCTCAATTCAATGTCAGTTCAATGTCAGAAGGCTGTGCATCGCCAAGATTGACAGGGCGTTTTTTTTTTTCCTGAAAAGTTGACATTTAGATTTATAATTTTTTTTTCATACGCTATTTTTACCATGACGACTGTGACATTTTCTGAGCTTATCACAGGGAGAAATCTGCATCGGGCAAAGTAACTTGTGATACCTGCAGCCGTCACACAAACGCAGTGAACTCCACCTGAAGAAAAAGCACATGTCTGCCGAGAAAACCCAAATTGTACTTAATGGCTGTAACTGAGTAAATGTACCCGCAATTTTCCACCTCTGCTGTCTCTGACATGCACTTACAAGCAACAAGCAAGACGCATGCTCACACACACACAAACACACACACACACACACACACACACACACACACTTTCGGCAAGAGATGACACAGAGCTTTGTGCCTCTCGGGTTCATGGTAAAGCAGGCTATAGGACGCAGGTCCAAGGTTAATTATAATGAGGACGTTTCCACCTAAATAATTTAGCTGTAATTCATTATTCAAATTCTTGCTCATATCTCCATATTTTTTCAATTATTTCACAAAGCACATTCAAGAGCAGTGTCACAATAATTAATATCCATACAATAGTCATGCTAAGAATTAATTATAATAATTAGGAATAATTAGGGTGCCTTGGCGCTGACTCTGTTGGTTTATGGCTCGGTGTAATTTCACAACCGTCTGTGCGTATACTTGCATGACCTGTTCTGCCGAGTCCACAGATATGGGCTGTTTCCTGTTCTAAAAGAATCCTCTAAAACAGTCACAACGGTAACAGTCTCACCGAGTCCATTTCAGAAGTTGGTAAAAATAACATCAGAGCACGTAAAATAGTCATTAAAACCTCACTCTGCTGCAAATAAAACGAATCACCCCTGTGATGTAACTGCATGATCACAAAATGTGTGTTGGGCCGGGGTAGGAAATCTATTGCAGAAGGAAGTATTCCTCTCTCTGGGTGGGGAATGCATGCATGTCTGTGATGGTTTGTGCAAATGGAGTGAGGGCGCAGGCTGTGAAAATCTAATGCAATTTGATTCCAAGTTAACCGCAAAGCAATATGTATCCTGCCTCAGTGCGCCGGGTGCAAGAGAGAACTACTTTACTTCATTTTTCCCCGTGTGGGGAAAAGAGACCGACTGATGGCAGAACGCCCGGGCCTGTCGTTAAATTACATAACTTCTTGGTAATCATAACTGTTATTTCGGGTGAGGCTGGTCAAGGAATGCAGCAGATATTGAAAGACGGCAAACGACCAAAACAGAACCCCTCAAAATCCACGTCAACAAAAAGCGTCGACACCTGTGGAAAAAGCCGCACTCAGGCTTCAGTGGGATAAATGCAGCTGGAGCTCAGGTTCACTTTGTATTCACAGGAGGCCACTTTCAGTCAGTCCCCATGACGGGAGAAGAAGATTACACACAGACTAATGAATTACAATTCATCATGTCATATTGGAGGAACTGTAGCGGCTCCTGCTTTATTTATTTGATAAAAGAATGAGCGCTTCTGTTTTGACATCTCCCGAGACGTCTAGTGACACTGCTCCAACAAACAACCTCACGTTGCTGTGGACTCAGGCAATGAAAGCACATGTTTTTTGACATTCGGGGAATGCGGCAGACAGGAAATGTTTTTTTTTCTCCCGCCCCCCGCCAACCGCTTCATGTTGCAGGTCTGCACTGATTATCAAGCTGTGTTTCAGGTATGAAAATAAATAAATGCGGCTTTGTCAGAATGACGGGAACAACAGCGGCTTTTACCAGAAATGGCGAGTTTTCTGAAGAGGATGCTGCTGATTGTCGACCCTGCGGCGGTCAATCCTCTTTTCCAATAAGTCCCTTTCACCCAGTTGAAGCAGCAAATATGGCAGGTCTCCTCCAGGTGTTGTTAAAATCAAATTCCTCCCCTGTCTCTCAGGTGTTGGGCTACTTCACAACAGCTATGCTGAGAGGAAGACAAGTGATTAGTCTCCTACAGATTGGGCTTCAATAAACTGTGTCAAGCAGCGAACACTGTGACCCTGACATTTTCAGCACGGCCAAGGGGAGGGGAAGATCCACTTAATGGTCCAGTCCTGCGCCAGCCAGCAGCCGCAATTTGGATCGATAATTGCTTCATTAGTTAATCTGATTGAGTGTGTGAGCAGCCTGTAGTCGATGCAGAGTTACCTCTCTTTCTGCGAGGAGTCGGCCTTTTATTGATCTCCTTGTGCGCCGTAGAGAGCCTGACTCCCCCCCAAACGATCCTCAGATTTACATGAAGAAAATGAGATCGGGCCTCATGCCATCTGTACTTCACATGTGTTAAAGCCGATCAATAGAAACTTGCCTGTTGATAGCAACAGTAGAACAAATGAGGAGATCAAAAGGCACGTCTTCTGTTGCTGTGTTTCTGGTGGTTTGAAAGGGCAACCGTGTCAACAGTGTTTAGCATGCAGCGAATGTTTTATACATTTCTAACCCGTAAACCCTTGTTAAACTGAGTGGGAGCTAATGAGAGATGCAGTGCGTCACTAACTATGGTCAGCGAGGCTACATCGTTCCAGTTGTAATGCAGGACCTTTGAAGCTGCATTAACTGATATTCTACGGCCACTTCTGAATCATTGAACTGTTCCCTTGACAAACAATGCGGTTAACGGTTGCCTATTCCTCAAGTAGAGCAAATAACATTGGAGCTCATTTGAAGCTGGGGTTTTGTCCCTCTGATATAATATAAGTCCATTTGTGGCTGGCATTGGCTTCTATAGTCTTCCTCTGTCTGTCGCGGTTCTTTAAACATCGTATTGTCAAATCTATTAATAATGTAGAAGAAAAGCAGCAGTTTGAATGGAGAGAGGTAATATTATACAGCGCTGCAGTAAAAAAAAAGAAAAAGATGCTGTTACAACAATTAAAGTGGGTTTAAGCGCATTCAGGCGTAAATATTTGTGTAAGATCCTTCAAATCATACAAATTATTTACTGCACTATATCACTGCATTAGGTCTATGATGTGTTGCACGTGCATATTTAGCCTTTGAACCTGATACCACACTGGTACAGTTTCCAATTTATTGTCAGACTGTCTTTTCGCCTTTTTTTTTCTGCTGGTTGTCGTCGGTTAATCCTGTATTGTGGAACCGTGTTGCAGCATGTCAGCGCAAATTTACCGAGACAAATTCCTTGTGAAACCATTGTGCTTGGTGAAGGAAAGCAATTCCTGTAAATAAAGTGAGTGTAAATAAATAAATATTTTTTAATAAATGTAAAAAAAACTGTGCTGTCTTATGTGTTTTTATTTAACAATCATATGATGATTTTCCTGAAGAAGAAATTACATACACTTACAGTGTAAACAAAACACTCACATGAGACCTTTGCTCTATCCTGACATTTAGATCAAGGCACACCAGCAAGACTTCAAAGACTACAAAATGATGACAGTGATGATCTTGATAAAAAGTATTCATATTTGTTGTGTTTATTGAACCGGTTTCTGTGTATCAGCACTCTCCCATTGAACCGGAAGCCCAAATATTAACTGATAACATTAAATCCAGTGACATAGATTACTCGATGAATTAATGCAAAGGGCAAGGAAACCACCTCGGCTGACTGTGGATCAAATCTGTGAGGCAGAGTTAATTACAGCGAGGGCTTTGTGGGAGGAAATAGAATTCAGGTGTATTACAAGTGAAATGTTCGCTGGCTGCATGCTGCATGGGATGCCGCTGTTGATACATGTGTCATATATTCGGCAAAGTCGGGCAGACTGCAAGTTGTGTCTTTTTTTTCCCCCCGATCACCTGGTTGTGAATGCATAACTATGATTTACTGGCAATGTGAAAGGCAGGGAAATTATTCATGAGGATGTAGACCATTCTGCAACAACTCAGGCATCTGTCACCTGTCATTATTGTTTATTTCTCACCTAAGCCTGAAAGTATTTGTTGGTTTGTCAGTTAACGGCAGCTCATTGCCGGTGGAATCAGCAGTACTTAATTGCCGCCTGCTGCAGGCTGATGCTTTGAGCAACATCCCAGAATAAACACAAATGGCGGCTTCTTTTTATCCCTCTTTAACATGGCAGCAAACGTTTCTGGAATAGATCCTCTGCGCCGTCTTCATAATGACGTGCAGCACCCAAATGTTCCATGAAATGAACTCTTAAACA